AGCCAGAGCCAGAACCCAGGAGTCCCGGCTCCCAGCCCTCCCCTGCTCCAACTACTAGACCCCACCCCCTCCCCGAGCCGGGGAGAGAACTCCAGACTCCTGAGCATTTCTCCCCCCGCAGGGATCTCGGGGGTGATCGAGGCCTACAAGCGGTGCCTGCCCCAGATCCAGCTCTACGGCCCCACCAACCTGGCCCCCATCATCAACCGGGTGCTGGCCCCCGCCAGCGAGGAAGAGGGCAGCGGGCCTCCCATGGTGAGGGGGAAGGGCAGAAGGAGAGAGGGAGGGGGCTGGACACAGAGGGAGTTTGGGGTCCCCCCAGCACCGACCTCCCCCTTCTCCCCAGCGCTACCGGGTGCTCCTGGTGCTGACGGACGGGGTGCTGAGCGACATGCCGGCCACGCGGGAAGCTGTCATCCGAGCCTCGCGCCTGCCCGTCTCCATCATCATTGTGGGGGTGGGGAACACCGACTTCTCTGACATGCGGGCGCTGGACGAGGAGGACGGGACCCAGGAGTCCGAGGGGAAGCGGGCCGCCCGCGACATCGTCCAGTTTGTGCCCTTCCGCGAGTTCAAGAAGGTGAGTGGGAGACGGGGGCCCCCTCCGTCCGGCTCCTCGACGCTCCCTCCCTCCGACCCCCCTCCGTCCGGCTCCTCGACCCCCCCTCCGTCTGGCTCCTCGACGCTCCCTCCCTCCATCCCCCCTCCGTCCGGCTCCTCGACGCTCCCTCCCTCCGTCCCCCCCTCCGTCCGGCTCCTCGACCCCCCCTCCGTCCGGCTCCTCGACGCTCCCTCCCTCCGTCCCCCCTCCGTCCGCTCCTCGACCCCCCTCCGTCCAGCTCCTCGACGCTCCCTCCCTCCGTCCCCCCTCCGTCCGCTCCCCCCCCCCTCCGTCCGGCTCCTCGACGCTCCCTCCCTCCGTCCCCCCTCCGTCCAGCTCCTCGACGCTCCCTCCCTCTGTCCCCCCTCCGTCCGGCTCCTCGACCCCTCCTCCGTCCGGCTCCTCGACGCTCCCTCCCTCCGACCCCCCTCCGTCCGGCTCCTCGACCCCCCCTCCGTCCGGCTCCTCGACGCTCCCTCCCTCCGACCCCCCTCCGTCTGGCTCCTCGACCCTCCCTCCGTCCCCCCTCCGTCCGGCTCCTCGACGCTCCCTCCCTCCGTCCCCCCTCCGTCTGGCTCCTCGACGCTCCCTCCCTCCGTCCCCCCCTCCGTCCGGCTCCTCGACGCTCCCTCCCTCCGTCCCCCCTCCGTCCGGCTCCTCGACCCCCCTCCGTCCGGCTCCTCGACGCTCCCTCCCTCCGACCCCCCCTCCGTCCGGCTCCTCGACGCTCCCTCCCTCCGTCCCCCCTCCGTCCGGCTCCTCGACCCCCCTCCGTCCGGTTCCTCGACGCTCCCTCCCTCCGTCCCCCTCCGTCCAGCTCCTCGACGCTCCCTCCCTCCGTCCCCCTCCGTCCGGCTCCTCGACCCCTCCTCCGTCCGGCTCCTCGACGCTCCCTCCCTCCGACCCCCCTCCGTCCGGCTCCTCGACCCCCCTCTGTCCGGCTCCTCGACGCTCCCTCCCTCCATCCCCCCTCCCTCCGGCTCCTGGACGCTCCCCCCCTCCGACCCCCCCCCCTCCGTCCGGCTCCTCGACGCTCCCTCCCTCCATCCCCCCCGTCCAGCTCCTCGACGCTCCTCCCTCTCCCTCCCTCCGGCCCCCCCCCTCCGTCCGGCTCCTCGACGCTCCCTCCCTCCGACCCCCCTCCGTCCGGCTCCTCGACCCCCCTCTGTCCGCTCCTCGACCTCCCTCCCTCCATCCCCCCCTCCGTCCGGCTCCTCGGACGCTCCCTCCCTCCGACCCCCCTCCGTCCGGCTCCTCGACGCTCCCTCCCTCCATCCCCCCTCCGTCCGGCTCCTCGACGCTCCCTCCCTCCTTCCCCCCTCCGTCCGGCTCCTCGACGCTCCCTCCCTCCGATCCCCCCGCCCCGACCCCCCTCCGTCCGGCTCCTCGACGCTCCCTCCCTCCGACCCCCCCTCCGTCCGGCTCCTCGACCCCCCCCTCCCCCCCCGTCCGGCTCCTCGACGCTCCCTCCCTCCGACCCCTCCGCCCCCTCCCCCCCCTCCGTCCGGCTCCTCGACGCTCCCTCCCTCCGTCCCCCCCTCCGTCCGGCTCCTCGACGCTCCCTCCCTCCGACCCCCCCTCCGTCCGGCTCCTCGAGGCTCCCCCCCTCCGTCCGCTCTGCCTCACTCCCTCCATCTCTCTCCCCAGGCCCCCCCGGCAGCGCTGGCCAAGTGCGTGCTGGCCGAGGTCCCCAGCCAGGTGGTGGAGTTTTATGGCAGCCGCGGCATCGTCCCCGGCCCCCGAACTCCTCGGCCCCAGTGAGAGCCCCGGGGCCCGACCCCCAGCCTGACCCAGGCCCCCACGGGTAAGTGCCCCCTTGTCCCCAAGGGGCGGGGCCGGGGCGGTGGCTCTTTTCCAATAACCTCTCTCTCCTCCTTCCTGCCTTTCTCCTTCCCTCCGTCCTGCCCCCATCTCTCCCCCAGGTGCCTCTGTCCTTTACCTCTGCCGACCTTCGGCCTTTTCTCCTGGACCCCAGGGGCTCCGAGGACCGACGCAGGGTGAGGGGCTCCCAGCCCCATGGTGCCCTCCCCGACTGAGGGTGAAGGCTGGACCTGACCCCCCCACCACCACCACCGCCGCCCCCATGGGCCCCATTGTTCTCAGGCCTCTAACTTCAGACCTGCGGTGACTCCCCACAAATCCTGTACCCAGATCCCAGCGTCCCACCCCGATTGCCCCTAATCCTCTGACCCTCCACCCCAGTCCCCCCACACCCTGGTCCTCCCACACCCCAAGCTGCCCCGCCCTCCCGAGTGGTGACCCCCACCCCACCCCCAGAGCAATGTCTCTCAGACCCCTCAATAAAGCCACCCCAATGGACACCCCATTCTCCGCCTGGGAGATTCATTGATCGGTGACCTCGCTCAGCAGGGCTGGGGGGGGCAGGGACTGGACAGGAGACCACAGTGCTGTGGGGTGGTAGGTGCCACGTTGTGGGGTGTGGGGCTGGGGGGACAGCTTAGTTACATGAGGGGCTGGGTGGATAGAGGGCAGAGGGAGGGAGGGAGGGAGGGGTGGGGAAGGGGATGGAGAGAGGGAGGGAGCCATCCCCTTGCCACGGCTCGTCCGCAAGATGCCCAGACCCGAGCCGCGCTGTCCATCCCCTGACCACCCCACTGGCCGCCCCTCGGCCCCCAACAAACGCCCCCACGGCCCTCCCCCCAGCCCTGTGGGGCTCCCCTGGCACCCCCAGCGCTGGGGGCCCAGGGGAGCACTCTCTGGAGGCCACTGGGGCTGTCGTGCTAAACCCAGCGCCCTCCACGGGGAGGGGGAAAGCTGCGTGGACAAAGATTTGGGGGCGCAGCGGCCAATCAGCTGAGCAGGGAGACGCTGGGCCCCACAGCTACGGCTGAACAAAGAGAAGGCGAAGGGGGATTTGATCCCCTTCTCTTGGGACCAACGTGGGCAACAAAAACAGGTTCGTTCCCGTCTCAGGCAGGCACCAATTCAGCAGAAGCCATGGCTGGCCGCAGAAGCTGGACGGCTTCACAGTGGACCCAAGGGGCAGATTTTGACCAGGGCGGGTATTGAACCAAGGGGACGATTGACGAGGGGCGCGGGGGGTTCGCCAGCCTTGAGACGGGCTGTTTTGGGGGCCAGCCAGGAATCCACGCAGGGAAGGGCCGGGGCTGGCGAGCTCCTCAGGCGGCTCCTGTCTGGGGCTCGCTGCCCCGTCTTCTCGCAGGCCAGGGGCTGCCTAGACCCACCGGCCGGGGGGACGGTTTCCGCTCGGCGGCCGCGCGGGCAACCGGAGCCAGGAGCCAGGAGCCAGCTCTGGCTTCCCCGGCGAACCCGGGCACGGAGCCAGCCATGAGCTAAGGCCATCCTTGGCACAGAGATGACTGCGTCAGCCCTATGCAGAGCTGGGGGTGGGGAGCCCAGGGCTGGGCTGGCAGGGGCTGGGGGTCGGGGGGGAGGGGCACCGGCAGGGCTGGGGGGACAGGGCTGGGCTGGCTGCGGGTCGGGGGGAGGGGCACTGGCAGGGCTGGGGCTGGGGGGGCAGGGCTGGGCTGGGCTGGCAGGGGCTGTGGGTCGGGGGCACCGGCAGGACTGGGGGGGCAGGGCTGGGCTGGCAGGGGCTGTGGGTCGGGGGCACCGGCAGGGCTGCGGAGGCAGGGCTGCGGGGGCAGGGCTGGGCTGGCAGGAGCTGTGGGTCAGGGGGAGGGGCACCGGCAGGGCTGGGCTGGCAGGGGCTGTGGGTCGGGGGGCAGGGCTGGGCTGGCAGGAGCTGTGGGTTGGGGGGCAGGGGCACCGGCAGTGCTGGGGGGGCAGGGCTGGGCTCGCAGGAGCTTTGGGTCGGGGGGCAGGAGCATTGGCAGGGCTGGGGGGTCAGGGCTGGGCTGGCCGGGGGGCTGCAGGTCACTGGCAGGGTGGGGGGGGTCAGGGCTGGGCTGGCTGGGGGGCTGCAGGTCACCGGCAGGGCGGGGGGGGCTGCAGCCCTTCAAGGGTTAATCCCGTTTCATGCGGTAATTACAGGCTGTTGTGACTTCCCAGCAGCTGCTGGTTTTCTTGTCGGGGGAGGGGGGGGGATGAATTTCCTGCTATGGGGGCGTGGCCCAGTCCTGCCCCCCACCCCCTTACAACTGGCAGAGAACAAGAGCGCCCCCACACTGAACAGCGGGAATCCCTCCTCTAATCACCAGCCCCCCCCCCTCCCCGAGCCAGGGACAGAACCCAGGAGTCCTGGCTCCCTGCCCCCCCCCAACCACCAGCCCCCCCTCCCCGAGCCAGGGACAGAACCCAGGTGTCCTGGCTCCCTGCCCCCCCCCCAACCACCAGCCCCCCCTCCCCGAGCCAGGGACAGAACCCAGGTGTCCTGGCTCCCTGCTCCCCCCCCCTTAACCAGCAGCCCCCCTCCCCGAGCCAGGGCCAGAACCCAGGCGTCCTGGCTCCCAGTCCCCGCCCGGAATCCTCGGGCCACCTGCTGCCCAGAGCTGGTATCTTCCTCTGGGAGAGGATGTTGCATAGGAGGGGGATTGGGGGCGGGGCTGATACGCCCGAGGGGTGGGGCTTCCCTAGGCCACTCCCCCTCTCTAGGCTCCACCCCCAGCCCACAAGAACTGCCAGCGCCGGGCTCGGTGGGGTCCGGTGATGTTTATTCTACAACGACATTGGAAAGCTGCGAGGGGAGCAACGGCTCTGGCCCCGCCCCTTGTGCCCCCACAAGCTCCGCCCCGTGGGCGGGGCTCCGCAGGTAGCCCGCCTCCTGGAGAGGGATGGTCAGGGGGCAGCAGCATTTGTGGGGCCGTGGGACTTTAAGACTAAAGCAGAATGTGGGGGGCTAAAATACTAACCCCCCCACACCCAGGGCAGGGTCGTGCGCCTCCAGCAGGGGGCGCAGGGACCCCCCACAAGCCCCGCCCCTAGACTTCGAGGGTGCTAGGGCCCGCCGAGTGGAAGTAGGGCGCACTGGGTGCTCTCAGGGGGTCCCTGGGGCTCCTAGAGGCTGCTATTGTGCTGAGGGGATCCCAGGGCACTTGGGGGTCCTGAGGGGTTGGCTGGTGGGAGCACCCCACTGTTGGGGGGCAGGGCATCAATAGAGAGTGGATTTTGGGGGGGAGGGGCTGGTGGTCCAGTAGGGAGAGGATGGGGGGTCTTTGGCTGACGTACTCCAATCCTGAGGAGCAGGGCGTCATAAGGGGGTGCAGCGCAGGTCTGAGCTCACTTCCAATATTGGGGAGCAGGGAGGCTTGAGGCTCAATATGGGGGGGCCCCAGGAGGTGGCTTGCTGATGCACTGCAGTAGGGGGGCATGTGTTGGTAGTGGGGTGTAGGACTGGCTGGTGCACCCCCCTGGCCGGGTGCAGGGGGCTGATATTGGGGTACAGGAAGTGGCCAGCCATGGGTGCGGAGGGTCGCTCTGAGGGAGCTGGGGAGGCAATGGGGGGTACACAGGGTGCTTGGCTGCTGGTGCTGCTTTTTGGGGTGCAGCATCGGTGGGCATGACCGGCATGCAACAGGTGAGTCCAGCCCCCCCACACACTCCCATTGTCAGAGGGAGGGTCCCCCACACCTACCGCCGCCCCCATCACAATCCACACAAACGTTGATCGGGCTCTCAAAAAAATTCCCTCCCCCTACAACTTACTCCCCTCGGGAGGCAGGAAGGGGGAACCCCACAGTCACCCCCAAAATCCCCTGCTCCCCCCACAGGTCCCAGTCACACTCCCCCTGGTGGCAAAAGGGAATAACACCGCTGGGACTGTGGAGAGCCTGGAGACGTCATTGAGCCAGTGGGTTCCCTCTGCTGGCCACAGGCGGAAGGACACCCCCCGAGGCCTCAGCAGAGCAGCGCCCCCTGCTGGCCACAGGCGGAAGGACACCCCGAAGCCTCAGCAGAGCAGCGCCCCCTGCTGGCCACAGGCGGAAGGACACCCCCCGAGGCCTCAGCAGAGCAGCGCCCCCTGCTGGCCACAGGCGGAAGGACACCCCCCGAGGCCTCAGCAGAGCAGCGCCCCCTGCTGGCCGCCTCCCCAGTGTCCGCGCCCCACGCCCGGGGGCGGCTCAGAGGAAGCCCTGGGAGGGCGAGGGGGCCTGGGGCAGGAGCTTCTCGCAGCGGGCCTTGTAGAGGTCGCGCTCGCGGGCGAGCCGGGCCAGCTCCCCCCGCAGGGCCTCCAGCTCGCGGGCCAGCCGGGATTTCTCCGCCTCCAGCACGTGGCGCTGCTGGACCCGCTTGAAGCGGCAGGACTGGGCGTAGCCGCGGTTCTTCAGCGTGCGCCGCTTCTGCTTCAGCCGCAGCACCTCGTCCTTGCCGACGCCCCGCAGCCGCCGGTTCAGCTCCCGCACCGACATGCCCACGAGCTGCTCGTCCGAGAGCCGGTCGCGGAGCGGCGGGAGCTGCGGGGGAGGCAGGAATTAGCCCGGATCCACTGGACAGGGCGAGCGGGAGCCCCCCGCTCCGACCCGCAGCCCCCCGCTAGCCCAGCCCTGCACCCCCCAGCTCTGCCGGTGCCCCTCACTCCCAACCCCCAGCCCCCCGCTAGCCCAGCCCTGCTCCCCCCTGTCCTGCCGGTGCCCCCCGCCCCGACCCGCAGCCCCCCGCTAGCCCAGCCCTGCACCCCCAAGCTCTGCCGGTCCCTCACTCCCGATCCGCACCCCCTCCAGCCCAGCCCCCCACCCAGCTCTCCGGTGCCCTCACTCCCAACCCCCAGCCCCCGCTAGCCCAGCCCTGCTCCCCCTGTCCTGCCGGTGCCCCCCGCCCCGACCCGCAGCCCCCGCTAGCCCAGCCCTGCTCCCCCCTGTCCTGCCGGTGCCCCCCGCCCCGACCCGCAGCCCCCCGCTAGCCCAGCCCTGCCCCCCTGCTCTGCCGGTGCCCCTCACTCCCAACCCACAGCCCCTGTTAGCCCAGCCCTGCCCCCCACCCAACTCTGCTGGTGCCCCTCACTCCTGACCCCCAGCCCCCTGCCAGCCCAGCCCTGCCTCCCACTCAGCTCTGCCGGTGCCCCTCACTCCCAGCCCCCCGCTAGCCCAGCCCTGCCTCCCTGCTCAGCCGGTGCCCCTCACTCCCGACCCGCAGCCCCCTGCCAGCCCTGCCCTGCCTCCCACTCAGCTCTGCCGGTGCCCCTCACTCCTGACCCACTGGCCCCCACCAGCCCAGCCCTGCCCTGCCCCCCTGCTCTGCCATTGCCCCTCACTCCCGACCCGCAGCCCCCCGCTAGCCCAGCCCTGCTCCCCCCTGTCCTGCCGGTGCCCCCCGCCCTGACCCGCAGCCCCCCGCTAGCCCAGCCCTGCCCCCCTGCTCTGCCGGTGCCCCTCACTCCCAACCCACAGCCCCTGTTAGCCCAGCCCTGCTCCCCCCTGTCCTGCCGGTGCCCCCCACCCCGACCCGCAGCCCCCCGCTAGCCCAGCCCTGCCCCCCTGCTCTGCCGGTGCCCCTCACTCCCAACCCACAGCCCCCCGCTAGCCCTGCCCTGCTCCCCACCCAGCTCTGCCGGTGCCCCTCACTCCTGACCCACTGGCCCCCGCCAGCCCAGCCCTGCCCTGCCCTGCCCCCCTGCTCTGCCATTGCCCCTCACTCCCGACCCGCAGCCCCCTGCCAGCCCAGCCCTGCCTCCCACCCAGCTCTGCCGGTGCCCCTCACTCCTACCCCCACCCCCAGCCGCCCCTGCCCCCCACCCACTCTGCCGGTGCCCCTCACTCCCAACCCCCAGCCCCCCGCCAGCCCAGCCCTGCCTCCCCACCCAGCTCTGCCGGTGCCCCTCACTCCTGACCCGCTGGCCCCTGCCAGCCCAGCCCTGCCTCCCACCCAGCTCTGCCGGTGCCCCTCACTCCTGACCCGCTGGCCCCTGCCAGCCCAGCCCTGCCCCCTGCTCTGCCGGTGCCCCTCACCCCCAACCCGCTGGCCCCCACTAGCCCAGCCCTGCCCCCCACCCAGCTCTGCCGGTGCCCCTCACTCTTGACCCCCAGCCCCCTGCCAGCCCAGCCTTGCCCCCCACCCAGCTCTGCCGGTGCCCCTCGCTCCCGACCTGCAGTCCCCCACTCCCAACCCGCAGCCCCTTGCTAGCCCAGCCCTGCCCCCCGTCGGCTCTGCCGGTGCCCCCTAAGTGTGTGTGTGTGTCTTTCTCTTTCCCCTCACATCCCCTTCTCCAGCCTTACCCCTCTCACCACCCACTCCCTGTCTACATTCCCCACCCCTTTTCTCTCTGCCCCCACAACTCACCTGCTGTTGCGGCTGGAGCAGCCCCCCGGGGCAGAACCCCCCCTCGGCTGCCCCCCCCAGCAGGGCCTCCACTGCTTCCTCTGGGCTCAGCCCCAGCCCCTCCCCGCCCCCGGCCATCTGCTGGTGCAGCGCTGCCAGCCAGCAGAGCTCCTCCAGCCCTGCCTTGGGGTCCCCTCCATCCCCCATCCCCACTTCGCTCAGCGTGGGGGAGGGTGGCACTGAGCTGCAGGGGGAGGGGCCCAGGGAGGCCCCGCCCATTGGGCCCGCCAGCTCACGCTTGACCTCAAACTTCAGCAGGTCAAAATCGTTGAGATATTCCAGGGCCAGGGGGCTGGTGGGGAACTCGGCTAGGGGCACTGACATCCTGGGTGGGGCAGCGTCGTGGGGCATGAGACCTGGGGGAGAGAAGAGAGACAGGTGAGGGGCCCGGGGCTGATTGGGCAGCAAACCCACTCCACTCTATATGGACCAGCAGTGTCTAAGGACCGGGGTATATGGACCGGCTGTGTCCAAAGACTGGCTTTCTATGGACAGTTATATGGACCAGCTTTGTCAATGGGCCGGCTATACAGACCAACTTTCTAAACGGAAGAGCTACGTGGACCAGTTGTGTCTATGGACTGGCTTTCTACATAGACCAGCTTTGTCTATGGACCAGTTCTACAGACTCTGTCTATACAGAGTATGTTTCTGGTTTTATAAACCAGATATATGGACCAGCTGTGTATAGAGACTGGGATAAAGACCAGCTTTCTCTATAGGCCAGGTATAGGTAACAGCTAAGTCTTGGACTGGCCATATGGACCAATTTGGTATATTCACCAGCTATATAGACAGCCAAGGAACCACCCAGGTATCAGGGCAAAAGGATGTCTCCAATATAGGGTCCTTGCTCTATACAGACCTGTCTCCTATAGACCAATGGCTGTATATGGACTGGATTGATGTATTTGACCAATTTGGCTGGATTCACACAGGCTTTGCATTATGGGGTCCACTGTTCCCTCTGAGCTGTGCACGTGGGCACACAGATCCTAAACCCCATGGTTTAGACCACAAACATTTGCACGGAAGAAATTTTTTTGCACACACGGCCTGACAAAAATTAGAGGGAACACTGATGGGGTCCCTTGCTCTATATGGGCTGCCTCTGGCTCACAGAGGAACAGGTCTACATGGGCCACCTGTGTGTATATGGACCAGTTTGGGGTAAGGACCGGGCTAGACAGACCGCAGAAGGAGCAGAGCAAGGCTAATGCTGCAAAGGCCCCCTCTGGTGGCAGATGGCCACGAATGGACCAGCCCAGGTACTATCCCCCAATTTCTCCCTCTCACAGGCGTCCCCTTCCCCTGTACAGCTCCTTGTCCCCCCACACGCCCCCTCCATCCCCCCAACCCCTTTGTACCCCCAGTCCCACCCCCCATCCATCCCTCCCACACCCCCATGTCCCCACCCCCATCCACCCCTCAGTACACCCAGTCCCACCCCCCATCCCTCCCTCCCACACCTCCTCCATACCCCCAGTCCCACCCCCCACCCATCCCTCCCACACCCCCATGCCCCCACCCATCCATACTCCCATTCCCCCCACACCCCCTCCATACCCCCATCCTATCCCCCTATTCCCTCACACGTCCTCCATACCCCCACATCCCCCCACCTGCCCCTCTTCCACTGGGGGCCCCTGAACCTCGGACACCCAGATTCGCCCCTCCTCACCTGTCAACGCCACGCTTCGCCGCCAGGGGCCGCCCTGGGGAACCCCGGCGTCCGGGACCTGCCCTGAGCCGCAGCGGAGTCCCGGACGCCGAGGTCCCATTTAAAGAACCCCGGGCGCTGAGCTCACCCGCATCTCATTAGCCGCTGGCCAATGGGAAGCCGCCTCATTAGCATGTGGAGGCGGGGGGAGGGAATGAGGAAGTTCTGAGGGAGGACCGAGGGGGGGTACGGCGGTGCCCCCCACAGCGCCCCTCCCCCCGGCTCCTGACCCCCCCAGCCGGGGTCACGGGGGGGGAATCTGGTCTGATTAGCCAAGAATCCAATGACGACATAGGGGGGACACGAGGCCTCTCAGCGCCCAGCCCCCCCTTCCCCCAGATGTGCCCCTTCCCCCCAGCCCCACATATTGCCCCGGCCCCTCCTTTCCACCACCCTTCACAATCTCCCCCTACCGACGCCGAGCCCCAGACCCACAACCCTTCCCAGCCCCCCCTTCCCCCACCAGGTACCCCCAGCCCCATAACTTCTCCCCTCCCCACACATCCCCCCCTTTCTGTCCCCACCCCCTCCCATCTTCCTCAGACACCGAGCCCCACATCCCCACCCCATGACTCAGCCTCTCCCCCACATGCCCCCTCCCACTTCTGGCCCTATCTGCTCACACTGACACCCCATAACCCCCACACACACAACCCCCCCAGCCTCTGCTTCCCCAGCCCCATAACTCCCTCAGAACAGTGGATCCAGCACTGAACCCCCTCCCCCTCCCCACACTGTCCTGCCTAACCGGGGGGGGGGCGGCAGGGCGGGGGGCAGGGGCTGTGGGGCGGGAGTGAGGGGCAGGGCAGGGGGGCAGGGGTCTGTGGGTCAGGAGTGAGGGGCGCCAGGGGGCTGTGGGGCAGGAGTGAGGGGCACCGGGGGGGGGGGCTGCGGGGCGGGAGTGAGGGGCACCGCAGGGGGATGGGAGCGGGTTCAGGTCGGGGGCAGGGGGCTGGGCCGGGTGTGTGGGGTGGTTCTGCCTAACAACAGGCCAGGATCAGGTGGGGGCCGCACGGGGGCTAGGGCCTGACAGGGTGAATTGGGTCTGAATGGCCCCGAGAATCCCCCGTCAGGGAGCATTAGAGACGCTGGCTGGAGCCATTGTCCCCCCGCCAGGGTATTAGAGCCCCCCCCCCCCCCCCCTGCCCTGCGGTGCCCCTCTCTCCCGCCCCGCAGACCCCTGCCCCCCACGCCCTGCCGGTGCCCCTCACTCCACCCCACAGCCCCCTGTCCCCCCGCCCTGCCGGTGCCCCTCACTCCTGACCCACAGCCCCCCGCCAGCCCAGCCCTCCCCCCCGCCCTGCCAGTGCCCCTCACTCCCGCCCCCTGCTCCCCCCACCTAGTGCCCCTCACTCCCGCCCCGCAGTCCCCTGCCCTCCTGCAGCCCTGCCGGTGCCCCTCACTCCCGAGCCGCAGCCCCCACAGCCCAGCGCTGGGACCCCCATGCCCTGCCAGTGCCCCTCACTCCCGATCCGCAGCCCCCCCTAGCCCAGCCCTGCAGCCCCCACCCTGCCGGTGCCCCTCAGTCCTGACCCTCAGTCCCCGCCAGCCCAGCCCCCTGCCGGTGCCCCTCATTCCTGCCCTGCAGCCCCCTGCTCCCCCCACCCTGCCGGTGCCCCTCATTCCCGCCCCACAGCCCCCTGCCCCCCGGCCCTGCCGGTGCCCCTCACTCCCACCCGCAGCCCCCAGCCTCCCCCGGCCCTGCGGTGCCCCTCACCCCGACCTGCAGTCCCCTGCTCCCCCCCACCCTGCGGTTCCCCTCACTCCCGACCCGCAGCCCCCTGCCACCCCCGCCCTGCGGTGCCCCTCAGTCCGGACCCACAGCCCAGCCCTGCCCCCACACTCTTCCGGGGCCCCTCACTCCTGAACCACAGCCCCTGCTAGCCCAGCCCTGTCCCACCCCCACTCTGCTGCTGCCCCTCACTCCTGACCCGTAGCCCCCCAGCTTATCCCACTTCAGAGACTTAGTCTCTGTTTAATTGGCCAGGCCTACAGCTGGCCCTGTGGGGGCCCCCTTCAGCCCTGGCTGACCCACATATGCCCCATGGCTAATCCCCGAGCCAGGGACACCTTTAATGGCCTCTGATCCCCCTCAAGCCGCTTTCCCCAGCCCCCGCCCCCTCCCCCCTCCAGCCAGCAGACACCCAGGGGCTTAGGTGCTGGGGAGACATTTAATGAGATCAGTGTCTCTATCGGGGCGATTTCTCCTCTCACAACAGCCAGGGGGCGAGGGGTTAAACTTTTACCCCCCCCAGGCCCCCCGCAGCTGAGGGGCTAGTGGTTAGATTGGGGGGGGGTCTGAGAGCTAGGACTGCTGGGTTCTCTCCCAGCACTAGGAGGGGAGCAGTGCCTAGTGGTTAGTCGGGAAGCGGGGGGGGGTGCTGGGAGGGGAGATGAACCCCCCAGCGTCTTTCCCCGTCTCAGAGCCCAGCCCAGCACTCACCCCGCTGCCAGTCAGCGCCCAAAGCTCCAGGAGCCCTGGGCAATTGGAACCAAAAGCAAAGGGTAGAGGGTTTGGGGAACTAGAAACCATCCTCCCCTCCCAGAGCTGGGGAAAGAACCCAGGAGTCCGGGCTCCCAGCCCCCTCTTCTCTAACCAGTAGCCCCATTCCCCTCCCAGAGCTGGGGCGAGAACCCAGGAGTCCGGTCTCCCAGCCCCTTCCACCCCACTCTAACCACTAGCCCCCAAGCTGGGGGGTGGGAGCGGAGAGGCGGGTAAAAGTTTAACCCCTCGCCCCCTGGCTGTTGTGAGAGGAGAAATGGCCCCGATAGAGACACTGATCTCATTAAATGTCTCCCCAGCACCTAATCCCCTGGTTGTCTGCTGGTCGTGGGCAGGGGGAACTGGGGGGGACCATGTGTCTCTTGGTGGGGGGTTAGACAGGAGACGTTTTGAGCTCTGGGAGCCTGGACTCCTGGGTTCTCTCCCTGGCTCTGGGAGGGGAGTGGGGTCTAGTGGTTAGAGTGGGGGCGGGGAGCCTGGACTCCTGGGTTCTATCCCTGGCTCTGGGAGGGAAGTGGGGTCTAGTGGTTAGAGTGGGGGGCTGAAACCCAGGACTCCTGGGTTCTCTTTCCTCTGGGTTTGTTATTAGCATTAATATCTGTCTCTGCTCCTGGGTGGGGTTGGGGGCGATTATAATTAATCGGCTCATAACGAGCTCAGTTCTATATTTTCTCTGATCGGCTCTCCCCGCCTCCAGGATCTGGCTGAGGGGGCCAGGGGGCCACGCATGTCACATGGGCCTGGCACACGCCTCGTTGGGCCTGGGCCATGTGTGGCCCCGGGGCAGGGGGGACGGGCCCATATTGCTAGCGTGTCCTTTCCGTGGCCCTCATGTGTCATGGGGGCCGTCCTTTGCTCTCCTATCCCTGGCGAGTCTAATGTGTGTCCGTTGGGCGTCTCTGCCTCTCCCGTGCCCTGGTGTGTCCATGAGTCTCCCGTTACCTTGGCATGTCTCTGGATCTAACATGTGCTTGGCATATCCGTGACTCGCCCGTGTCCCTGGTGTGTCCTTGGCATGTCCCTGGCATACCCGTGACACTCCCGTGCCCTGGTGTGTCCATGAGTCTCCCGTTACCTTGGCATGTCTCTGGATCTAACATGTGCTTGGCATATCCGTGACTCGCCCGTGTCCCTGGTGTGTCCTTGGCATGTCCCTGGCATACCCGTGAGTCTCCCATGCCCCTGGTGTGTCCATGAGTCTCCCGTGTCCTTGGCATGTCTCTGGATCTAACATTTGCTTGGCATGTCCGTGACTCACCCGTGTCCCTGGTGTGTCCTTGGCATGTCCCTGGCATACCCGTGACTCTCCCGTGTCCCTGGTGCGCCTGTGAGTCTGCTGTGCCCATGACAACTCCATCCCAGGCTCTCCCCAGAGCCCTTCCCCACTGCCCTGGATTTCCCTCCCCTGCTGGATTTGGGGGGAAGGGCGGGCGCCAGGGTCCCCTCCTAGCTCCACCCCCCCCACCCCGCTGTTTATCCTTGGCAGATTTGGGGCGGTAAATAGGATCAGAGGGGAGAGCCGGGGGAGCAGATGGGGTGAGTGGCTGGAAGAGAAACCAGGGCGGCCCTGTCTGAGCTGCCAACTCCAAGCCAGAGGGAGAGAGAGGGACATGGGGCCTGCTCCCTCTAGGGGGAGCCGGCTTCCATCCAGCCCCAGGGCGGGGGGTGGGGGCTGGCTCGGAGGGCCAGTGAATGGGGCATGGGGACTTCCCCTCGAGGGGGTGCTGGCTTCCATCCAGCCCCATGGTGGGGACTGGCTGGCTCAGGGGGTTCAGGGATGCTGTGGCAGTAGCTGATTCACGGATCACCTGGATTCCCAGCCGGCCCTTTGCCCTGTTGCAATAACCCCCGCTCATCTGCCCAGATGTTCCCGGCTCATTATGCGCCCCCTTGGGGTGGCTGGGCAGGGCCCAGAATAGCCGGCACCAGCACCAGGGCGAGCAGAGAGTTCCTACAGAGCATCCCATCCCCCGCTGGCCCCATGGCACCCCCTAGAGGGGTTGGGCCTGGGCCCCATTCCCCGCCCTGGGGCCAGCGCCCTCTAGAGGGGATGTGCCCGGGGCCCCGTTCTCCGCCCTGGGGCCAGTCCCCCCTAGAGGGGACGTGCCCCGTGCCCCATTCCCCGCCCTGGGGCCGGAGCCCCCTAGAGGGGACGTACCCCATTCCCCGCCCTGGGGCCAGCACCCCCTAGAGGGGACGTGCCCCATGCCCCGTGCCCTGTTCCCTGCCCTGGGGCCAGCACCCCCTAGAGGGGACGTGCCCCATGCCCCGTTCCCCACCCTGGGGCCAGCGCCCCCTAGAGGGGACGGGCCCTGCGCCCCGTTCCCCACCCCCGCGAGCCAGCCAGTCCCTGCCCTATATAAAAGGGGGGGCTGTTGCGCAGCCAGGTTGGGTGATTGGCGTGTGACACCGCCCCCAGTCACGCTGCCCTCTGGGAAGGGGGGGCTCGGGGGGGCTCTGGGGGCAGCGCCCTGGGAAAGGAGGAACTAGCTGTAAAAGCTGAAGGCGGGGGAGGGGCAGGGGAGCGGAGGGGGAAGGTAATACAGGGGTTTGGGGGCGCACGGGCGGGGGGAAGTGCAGGGAG